CACCTTTCCTTATATCTCATCAGTACATTAGATGTTAGAACATTAGAAAATTAGAAGTTCCTGAATTTTAAGTTTTAAAATAATACATTCTCTTTCTTTTCACTTCTGCACTGTTATCTTACCTGGGATTCTTATTGGTGATATCTCCTTGAAATTTTTATGTTAATTTTTGGATGTAGACGGGCAAGAAAATCCATCCTTAAATTGGTGGCCCACCACAATGGACGTAGGTAGGTGAGATAATGCTCCTAGGCTTCCACTGTAGCTTGATGTCCCTCAGTTCTGGCTCCTCCAGTGGTTTGGGGAGCTGAAATATTTCTAAACTGTGATTGCACTACTGACTCCTTTGATGAATTACTGATGGTGACCTCAAGATATTTACTCATAAACCAAAGGGAATACACTGGAAATTGCTGCACAGTAAGGTGCTTACTTATACATTACCCATTGCATGCATAGCGATGAGGTTCTGCACCTACGGTTCGCTGGCGTTCTATGCTATGCACGTTAAATTCTTGGACTTCAGGTAGATAAATGCCCTGTTGTGCCCTCTGTGGCATCACAGAATTATGAAGTTGGAAGGGATCACAAAGATCATCTAATGCTGTGTTTTTCAAACTTGGCAACTTTAAGATGTATGGACTTCAACACCCAGTATTCCCCCACCAGCATGGGGGAATTAGCAATTAATTAATTAATTAATTAGGGAATTAATAGTGGAATCAGAATTCCACTAGTAGGGAAATTCTGGGAGTTGAAGTCCACACATCTTAAAGTTGCCACGTTTGAAAAACACTGATCTAGTCCAATCTTTCACAGTGTGCAGAAAAGCCAATTAAATCCTTGTTGAGGGTTTCATTGATTCAGCCTCTTCTTAAAATCCTCCAGAGATGGAGTGCCTACACCCAAGCCAACTGTTGAACTGTTGTGCAGACATTGCTATTAGGAATTTTTTTCCTTGTTTAATGTAGCTGCAATTTATACTGGTTATTTCTGGTTCTCATTTCTATATCAGTGGAAGATTGTTCCTGAACATCTTTCTTAGGGCACTGTTTTATGTGCCTGAACACTGATACCATGTCTCCCACCCGTCTTCTTTTCTCTAGACTGAACCTTCCCAGTTCCTTCAGCCTATCCTTACATGGCAGGTCCTCAAGTCTCTGTATCATCTTTGTCACCCTCCTCTGAACCTGCCCTAGCCTGTCAATACCCCTCTGAAACTGTGGTGCCCAGAATTACACCATCAGAGTAGTCTCATCAGAGTAGAAGGGAATAAGGACTTAAACACACAGTCCTTCTGCATTAGCTTTCTACAGCTAATGAGATAATCCATGGAAATTCTTCGTTTTCGGCATCAAACGTGGACCAGAAGGCCTGTTTGGCCCTTCAAAACCTGCATTGAAAAGGAGGTGTTAACTTTGTTCCTCTCTTGAAGTACTTCTTCCAAATGAAATGTCCCATTGAGGAACATTTCATTCTCTCGCCTATGATAGGATAATGAATGCAAATTCCAGCAGAAACATCTTGCCAAGTTGAACCAGAAAGATTTTGTGGGCTGGAGGAAGGACAGCTAGCTGGGCCATAATTACAGACAAGCAGAAAATACCTTGTTATCAGACACAGAGGAACCAGTTACTCCTTTCCATAAATGTAAAACGCCTTATGCATTTTCTACGTAGAACATTTCCACTTGAAAAATGGAAGGAGACTGATTAGGCATTAATGAAATAAAATAAGTAAAAGCATTAATGTTGCGGTGGGCAACACACACTTGTGGACACCAGGACATGCATAGCAACCCTGGATGCTATCTATGGTACTCTAGAGTTAAATAAAAAATGTAAAACAGACCGCTTGAACACTCTTGCGATTTCAACCAAGAATTCTCATAATTTTGTGCTGAGTGCCTGAAAAGGTGATTAGGCTGCTGCATCCTTGTATAGATAAGGTGATTGTGACCATGAGATCAACTTAGGCAGTCATGCTGATCTACACCAGCTTGTCCCCAGTGAGTTGAATTTCAATATGGCCATGATTCTGAGAGGTGGTCCAAAATATCTGGAGGATTCCACCTTGGGGAAGGCCACTCTCCCCCATCATGGCCTTTCCCACACTGCCCTAGAGGAAGCCTTGTAGGGGGATCATCCAATGGGTTCCTGTCAATTTTGCTTCTGATCTTTGCTGGGTTGGGTGTCAGGGAACTTCAGCAGCATCATACTGCCACAGGGAGCTTGGGTTCAAATGTTTGTGTAGGTGTGTGTGAAACTTGCACACACTGTGATTTATTTTCTTCCAACTCTACTTATAGGGTGTAGGTGACAGCACTAACTTACCTTGGCTGATCTCAAAGATGTAATATTGTTCAACAGAGAGCCAGCTTGGTGTAGTGGTTAAAGCATCAAACTAGAAACCAGGAGATTGTGAGTTCCAGTCCTACCTAAGGCACAAAGCCAACTGGGTGACCTTGGGCCAGTCCCTCTCTCTCAGCCCCAGGGAACAAGATGAAGTCAAGAACAAATTATTTCTGGAAAATCTTGCCAAGAAAACTGCAGGGACTTGTCCAGGCAGTCACCAGGATTCAAGGCTGACTCGAAACCACAATAAAAAATAAAATTCTACAATAACATAATTATCCCCTCTTCCTCCTCCTCCTCCTCCTCCTC